TGGTGGCCTCATTGTAACCCCATTGATGGGTCCCTAACACCAAGTTTTTCCCAGCATATACACAAGCTATGGGCAATTAAGGAAGAATTGCATACAAATGGCTGGAAAGAATGGGAAGATACTCAGGTTGAGTGTTCTGGGACCTGCCCATCCTCCTAGGCGAAAACGTTAACAGTCCTGTCATGATGCACTCTGTAGAGTATAGGCACAGCCTATCTCAAGAAGATGGTGGCAGTTTGGCTCAGAGGATAATATCTCAACACAGGTTATAACTTTAGAATTGAAGTTCAAAGAAATTCAGCAATTTAAAAGGTTTTACTCAGCCATGAGTGTGCACACACACTGTGTACAGTGTGAAGGGTTTTAATGCTTCTAAGGAAAAAAAAAACAATATGGTATTATCTGTACAGAGAATTTTTATAAGGAAATAAAAGCCATCCAAAGGACTATTAGGGCAAACTGGAGGAAATAATTAAGTAATTATTTGTTAATAATGAGTTTTTAGTAGCTACTAATCTAAAAGATTCTTTTAAAAGTCATTACTAGAAGTGGATGTAATTTCACTCTATGCCCTGAAGCTAAAGCATTATAATTACAATCCCACTGAGGAACAAATTGAACAGGAATCATGGAACCAGGGAGGACACTTTCAAGCTGTTCAAATTACTTCCTTTACTTTTTATTAGATAAGAAATAGAAAATCTTCCTTCCTTCCTTCCTTCCTTCCTTCCTTCCTTCCTTCCTTCCTTCCTTCCTCCCTACCCTTCCTACTCTCCCTCCCCCTCCCTTCCATTCTTTGTCTTGTTATGTAGCCCAGGCTAGACTGGAACTCATAGTCCTACTGTCTTCCCTACATCTGATCAATATGAGCAGAGTTGCTGTCTCTCCACTGGGCAGTTATTCCAGGCTTTCAGCACTTGGTCCAGCCCCTCAGCCTCAGGTTGAGCTTCAGAAAGCCCTGATTAATCATCACTCTCCTTACCTTTACTGGATTCCCCATTGCCCTGGATTTTTACTTTCTTACCAAAGTTCTCCAGATTCCTTTCCTCAATAGGACATGTCCCAGGTTCTAATAGCCAAAGTGCCACATTTCTGTGAATATTGTCAGTCTCCATCTCAAGTCCTTGGCCCTACACTATTTCACTTCCTTTTCATTGCTGGGTTTTGCTATTTACTTGCTTAGTGGCTCCTTGTAGCTTCAAAGGATTTAGCAATTGGCCTATCTCCATGAGGTTCATAGTCCCCAGGAGATCAGAACACGGTTTTCTATTTTGCTACTCTAAGATTTAAAATATTTTATGACAATGATGACTGGCTTTCCAGATGGCCTGTCTTCTCATCTTCCTGCCTTTCTTCTACTTTCCCAGTGCCCCCCCCTGAGTATGTGTGTGTATTGTATATGCATGTGTATGTCTTCATATGTTTCAGAGGTACATGATAAGTGTCTTCCTCTCTCACTAGCCCCTTATTTTTTGAGACAGGGTCTCTCCATGAAGCTAGAGTTCACTGATTTGACAAGACTAGCTAGCTAAAGAGTTTCTGGCATTCTCCAATCTCCACCTCCCCAACATCAGGATTATAGGCATACATTACCGCATCCAGCTTTTTATGTGGATTCTTGGCATCCAATCTTAGGTCCTTATGATTGCATGGCAAGGACTTTACTAGTGTAGCTGTCTCTCCACCTTTCCTTCCTTTCCATTTTTCTATAGCAATTACATCTGAGTTTTCCCTACTCCCTGGGCAAGTTCCAATGACCTCAGTGGGACTCCGGCCTCACTCTCTGGGTTCCCTTCTCATGGTTCTTCTCTATTTAGTTAGGCTTGGGGCAGCAGAAAGACTCTGTTTTTGAAGCACCTGACTCAAAACCTTTCCATGATCTGTTGTTGTCCTTTTGAAAGAAGAAACTCCTACTCTTTTGTCCTGGCTCTAGTCAGAAGGGACATTTTCCATAGACAGTTTCTAAACATATTTTAAGTACTTGAAGTCACTCTAGGAATATAGAAACTGGCCCTGGTACATAAAACAGGTTACCCAGAAGAGGTAGAAGATTTCTCATGTTTCCATGGTTCCATCTCTCCCAGGTGTATGTTGGAGAGAAAACCCAACTGGTCAGTCACAGGAGGTAGAAAGCTCCAATTCGCCCACCTGGAACCAATTCTTTCATACATTTGTTTGTTGTTTTGTTCATTAATTCATTCCACATATTTGAAAGGGATGCTACTTCATGGTGCTCAAACATTTATTACACCCGATGTGGTAGGCGTTATTTTCCAGAGATTGGGAAACATATCTAATGTGATTTCCAAATGCACTTTCCTGAGAAAGTGAACCGTGTTGTCCTTACAGCCCAGCACAAATTCTCATGCACACAGCTCTTCTGGGTTCACCTTGTAGTCTCAGTTTTGCCCTTCTCTCCCATTATACCTCGTACCCATGTCTATCATCTCTAACTTCTCGGTAGTGAATAAGTGTTGCAACAGCAAGTGGTTGACTACAGAACCTGAGGCAGGAAGTTTATATATAGGATTTATTTAAGGAAGCCTGTAAACAACACATCTCCTTGCACACAGAAGTTCCCGAATGGACCTTGAGTATTTCCTTGGGTTTGCCAAAGACAAATTACCATCTGCTTTGGCTTAAGATTAACTGGGGCAGGTCCAACCAGAGAGAATGGAGAGCTGGGGAAATGGAATTGATTCTAAGCTTATTTCCATTTTGAAAGGCAGGAAGGAAAACTAATGGAGTTTAGGGATGCATATGTTTTCTGAACTGTGAAGTAAAGGAAGAAATTTCCTGTGAGATGAAGGTTTGGGGAGACATAATTATGCCTCTGTACAAGCTCTTGGTGGATACAATACAGCTTGAGGCCACAATACCCTTGGTCTTCTTGTTTGACAGGTGCTGTCATACGTTGTAGGTAGAACTTGAATATTTATGACCTTTTTTTTTTTTTTTTGAGAGACGCCTTCACCCCTTGTTTATGCATGTGCACATACCATCAACTTTAGAGTTTAAAAACTGGTCTAATGACATTAAACTCTGTGGTTAAAATTGAACTTGTTTTCTTTGATGACAAATCTGGTTGTGTTTTTTGTTTGTTTGTTTGTTTGTTTTTTGCCTATGTTACTGTGCTCATCCCTTGGTGTGTATGTTAAACATGGGCTTGGGATAGACTACATTGTTGTTAGACAGGGTCTCTCTATGTTGTCCTGGATGGTCTAGAACACTCTTTGTTGACCAGACTGGTTTCAGACATTCTCCTGCCTCCTCCTGTCTCCTGAGAGCTGGGTTCTGTTTGTTTCTTACCTGATTGTCAGGTAGATGTGGTCTAAAGTGGATTAGAGGGGCTGAGTTACTACAAGTGTGTCCCTTTGGGACTTATTCTCTAAAAATGTTTTAGTGATTAATTTTGTTTTCTCCAGTTTCATACATGTATACAATGTGTTCTGATGCTCTCTTCCCTGCCCTCCCTTGTCTCCCCACCCCTATCAAACCCTCCCCATTTTGCCACCAACCTTTTCCCCAGATTCATGAATTTTGGTTTGGTTTTGTTTATTCACCTTAGCTTAATGTCTATTGGAGCCTGTGGGGTCACTGGTGAATGCATGACAGAAGACTCCCCTCTCCCTGAATCTGTCAGTAGTAAATAGTTCACCAGCAAGGGGTAGGACCCTGAACCCCACCTCCATCATGCCTGACTCCTGATAGGCCCATTCTTGTGCAGAGGAACTGTGACAGAACCCAAATGAGTAGAGCACTTAACAAAAATGCCCGAAGAACTAGTCCTTTAGAGTCTGTCTGTCTGTTCACTAAAGTGCATGGGAAAACAGTTTATTTTCAGCATTTTGGCTTGCTTTTCAGTGTTGGGATAGAACCCAGGGCTTTGAGAGTGCTCAGGAAACATACTGTGTGTCTGCAGACCTTCAGACTGTGTGCTATTAATGTCTCCAGACCTTCCTTGGCATGCGCTTTGCTTGTAAAGCTGTGGAAGGTTGACCCACTCTGCTTCCTGATCTGTCTCCATGAGCAACAATGAGCTCCCCTGATGGACAGGATCCTTTTAAACCATGAGCCATAAAGATCTTTCCTTCCTTAAAAAAAGTTCTGGTTACAATTTTTTCTAGAATTCTTTAGTGATGTTATAAGATTTAGGGTTTAGGGACAGTGGGAGAAAAATGAGGGAATAAAAAAAGAAACAAAGCTCGAATGAAATGACAAGTGGTTTAATAGGACTGTTTCACTGCATCTTTCCAAGTTGCTAACACAGTTTATAGAACAAGAACACTGTTTCAGTGCAAATGGGCTGCTACTGCATTGGCAAGATCCTCCTGGGCCAGGTACCTCACACCTTGGGATTGCTGACGACAGCAGTGGTGCTGTAGGAGTATGGGCTGAGGAGGGCCGCAATGGTGTAGTGGCGATGGCCAGAGTCATTGGCTGTGAAAACCACCTGGGATAAAGGAGAGAAAGTTGCTTCAAACAGAGCCCAGAGGCAGGAGCCATAGTCAATGCATTTCCTGGAAGTTAAATGCTGAATTGATAATGTTAATTTTACTACCTTATTTTTGAGGGGGATGAATAATTAGAAGAAAATCAAATATGCTGCCTCGTAAAGTCTTGGGAGCCTTGTGCAGCTCCTGGAGAATTGCAGGAGGCCTCTCTGTGCATGTTTATGACCAGTCCTGGCCAGACCAAGCTGAGACACAGAGTCAGAGGGCTATTGTTCACGTTCTTGGGTTCAGAGGAAAGTAGGGAGAAGGGAAATAGCAACAGAAAAAAGACTAGAAGGGAACAGTGGTTGTCATCCCACCACAGACTTCCCAACCTAGAATGCTGGCAGGAAGCCTTCTCCTACAGACCTGCATGCTGGTGTCTGCCTGTGCTCCTATAGTGACAGCCCCGCCAGGAAGGAGGGCTCCAGGGATTTCTCTTCCACTGCCCTTTGCACTTTCTAATATGAGAAAGTGTATGCTTTCCGGTAAGTAGCAAGGATGAGGGGGTGGGGGAAGGCATCACAGGCTTCTCTCCACAACACAAGCGGTGTGTGGCTGGTGACATCAGCAGGAATTTGAACAAAGGAAGGTGGCTGGAGATTAAGTAGCCACATCTTGAGCCACTACTGAGACACAGGGGCAGCAACAACCCAGGTGCCAGGGAGTGAGACACATCTAGAAGGAATGGTGGACAGAGAAGGTATGTGTAATTTTACTCATTTTGTGTAAGTTTTGGATGGAGCTTTGAACACACTTAGAATAAACACTTTTTATTTCCGAGTGCAGGTCAAAGAAAGGTTGGATGAAAGAGTTAAACAAACTAACCCCAAAATAGCATCCAGATAGATGGAAGGGAGACTCATTTCAAACTCTCTGTTTTATTTATTTATTATTATTTATAGTGCTATGGATCAAATTTTGTGAATCCCAGGCAAGTTCTCTGGCACTGAGTTACAAGCCTAGCCCCTGACCTCAGCTGGCCAGTAACTACTGATCATTGTGTCTTAGCCTCCCAACATTAGAGTTCAGGTATGTGCCATTAACCCACTCTGTGAAGTTTCTTTTCTTCTGTCACATTGTTATCTAGTCTCATTTGTTTCTTCCTCAAAAGTGAAAAAGGGATATTATGCAATTTTTGAAAAAAAAATCTATCAAACTCCAGAGGGTAGTTGTGCACACCTTTAATCCCAGCACTTGGGAGGCAGGCGGATCTCAGTGAGTTCAAGGCTAGCCTGGTCTACAGAGAGAGTTTCAGGATAGCAAGGGATGCACAGAGAATACCTATTTCAGAAAACAAAACAAAATAGAATCCACTAATAAAGAAAGCTCAGTCAGTAAAGTTATTGCCTTGTAAGCATGAAGAATTTGATCCCCAGAATCCATGTAAAAAAATTGGGGTGTGGTAGATTGTATCTGTAATCCTCGAGCTAGGAAGGT